TGCCATCTATTTAACCTTTTATATTCTGGTGTTAAAGGTAATTTATTAAAAATAAATCCCTTAACTTGAATATTGTCAGTTCTAACCTTAAAATGTTTCGGTAATAAAAAGAAACTTAACTTTTTTATTCCATTTTTAATAGCCAATAACTCTTTATGATTTGAATGATATCTAGTTTCTATATCTTTAAATGTGCCACTAGTATATCTACAAACTTTTTCTTGAGAATCTTTCAAAACGGCTCCCAAATAAAAATCTAAGGCACCACATTCTAAAATTAACTTTTCATCTTCTTTAGGCAATTGTAACCTAGGAAGGTTTTTGAAATATTCTTTTATTCTTTTCACATGATTAGTGTGATAAATTTCCCATTGTTGATTTTCCTTTTTCCTAAGCAACTTTTGCAAATGATGTCTTAATTGACCTAGGTTTTGAATAAACTACTCTACATAATTGAATATTCCTAAAAACCTTTGAATTTGTTCCTTAGATTTTAATTTATCTAGGAACATCGAAATCTTTTCACTATTGTGAGGTTGTAATTCTATTCCTGTGGAATCTATTGTTAATCTAAGGAATTCAATTTTGGTTTTTCCTATCTCTACTTTTTTTTTTTTTTTCAAAAAGTAATATTCCATGTTTCTTGCATAAATATGCAAATTTCTTAAGATGACATAAATGTTCTTTCTTATAATTAAAGAAGATTAGTATGCCATCTACAAAAATTATACAAAATTTCTTGATAGAAGAAAATACATTATCCATCCTTTTTTGAAATATTTGAGGCACATTTTTTAATCCAAAAAGCATTACTAACCACTCGTAATGTCCTATAGGGGAACTAAAGGCTATTAGTGAGATACTGTCAAGAATTAGCTTAATTTGTCAGAATCCTTATTTGCAATCAAACTTTGAATACATTTTCTTTCCCCTGTTGCTATTGATTAGAGTTTCTTTATGCGGTAAAAAGTAACCATCAAATTTAGTTTTGCTATTAAATTGTTTATAGTTGACAACCATTCTAGCTTTCCCTCTTTTTAATTCATTATGATTTCTTACCATAAAGGCAGGACTACTATGCGGACTTTTTGAGGTCTGTATAATCTTTTGGGCTATCAACTCTTGAATTTGCTTATCAAATTCTTCTTTATCTTTAGAGCTATACCTCATTAGCTTGACTCTAATGATAATTTTTGGGTCTATCAATTCGATTATGGCATAAGTTTTATCAATTCCCCATAGTTTTATAGGATCTTCTCCATAATTACTTCTTAATTCTTCTGAGATAGATACTAGGGTTATTTCCTTGTGTGTTTTTTCATTATTCCATAATGCTAGGTTTTCTAATATCTTTTGATCGAATTTTTCTATTATCCTCACCACGTTGGCTGCAAAAATTTAATGGTTCTATTGCTCTAGTGTAAGCATTATAAATTATGGAGGCGTAAAGCCAATGTCCACAAAGTGTATAAAATTTTACATATGATGCAGTTTGAACATACTGCTTGAATTGACTTAGGAAATTGTTTCCAAATAGAATATCATTCACATGTTCATTACTTTTGTAGATTTGGGGAATTATAACTTCAATTCCATCAATTATGGCAATAACTCTTTTTATTATTGTTTTATATTGAATAATACTTTCATCTATGGCTTGAAAGGTGTTCTTCCAATAATATTTTGGGAATACATTGGTTTTTGCCAAACATATCATAGATCTTGTATCTATAAAAGCATGAAAGAATTTTGTTTTGTATTCTTCATACTTAATTTCAATGGATATATATATACTATAGATACTAGTTTTCATAGTATCTTGGTATAACTACTTCTTTTCCACTTAAGGTAATCTTCAAACAATGTTCTTGGATGTTATAAGGCTGTACTGATGTTAAGAATGTGTTTCCTAACATCAATTCTATACTTGCAATCATTTCTACTGTAGCATGAGCTGTTATAGTGATTTCATGTTGAATCTTATCTTTCTCTTTTATTCAAAGGGGTACTTTAGCATATTCACATACTATGGTCACTGTACCATTAAAGTTGTAATATGTATATGGTTTAGTGAGTTCAAATCTTTGTAGGTGTGGAATCATATCACTATGGATAAGTGTTACTCCTCCTCCTGTATCTATTAAGATAGAAATGTTATGTCATTCCTTCCCATCATAATTGTCCTCTTTTATTTTGAAATGCCTAGAAGGAATCTTTAAGATATCTAACACCACCTCATGTTTTATACTAGTCATTTTGGTCAAGACCTCTTTATCTTTCTTAGGATAGCATAAAGCTCTTAAGTTTATACCATTTCTATGGCTTGGTTCAAGTTCTGTTTTTACTAATAGTTTTAATGACTCATAAGTCATTAGTCTAGGTCTTTCTCTTTCTCTTATTAGGAGTGGTTTCTCACTAATGTTTATTTCCCATTCTCTAGGTATTTCTATTTCAGTGATCAACGGCTACAACATTGATCCATCTTTCATAAAATTTGCTCTAGCAAATTCATGTGCTAAACTTAGATTTTTATTAATATTTCTATCATTAATGTTTATAATAGATTTTGGATATACTATAAACATAAGTTTTTGGTAACTAAGGTTACCTTGCACTAATTCAAGGATCGCATCCTTTCTATCATTGATTTTATTGGGCTAAATTCAATAAATAATCTATTAATTATGTGATTTATTTCAGTTTAGTTTAGAAACAATTTTTTCTTTCAAAATGATCCATAAACTATCAATTTTGTTTCAAAATGGTCTACTTTGACAAAAATTCCGTTAATTGACTAACGGAATTCTTTCTAACAAGCTACACCTTAAACTTTTGAAAAGTATTAAATATAGTACAAATATTTTTATTTTTTATAACATTTTGTTTTTGAAGTTAAAATTTTTTTTGTCAAATATAATAATTAACCAATGAATTAGTTAGATATGCTTAATCAATATAAAAATTGACATACATAATTTGCGCGAATAGAATATTAAATTTAATCATGGGTTTTTAAAAACATTCATTGGAGAGTAGTGTTTTTAAAGTTAAAACTTCAATTTTTATAAGAGTCAAAATTGATATTCATTATTTTCTTAAAATCATATTGGCATGGCAAAATTAAGACTTTGGAAGGTTTTAGATTTAAAATATATTCATACCTGGCTACTTTGCTTGTGGAGCAAGAGAAAATGTGTAAATGAAAACCAACTGATTAATAATATGGAATAATTGCCAAAAACTTAAGTAGTTTAGTGGTCATCTTCTTCTACTGGAAGTAAGAGTTCTTGAGTTCGAGTCGCATGGATGCGAGTGAGGTGAAATAAGGGATGGGAGATGTTGCCTTTCATTGTGCTACAAAGATAAATAATAATAATAATAATAATAATAATAATATAGAATAACTAGCCAACAAAATTTTGACAAGTATACAATTCTTATATTAATTTTTTATATATAGAATGGCAGTAACAACAAAATTTTTCTTAAAATTCTCAATTAAATATTTAATGTATTTTTAAAAAATCTTCAACAAATACCCAATGACTTCCAAAAAAAATCGTCAAGAAATACTCAAAAGACTTAAAACAAATCCCAATGCTTAAAAAATACAATTCAATTCTAAGAATTACTAGGCTAGGAAATAAATTAAATGTAGAATACGAAATAAATCTAATTATATATAATTCAATTATCATAAAGTTGATGTTTAAGAAATGAAAAATATTAAAGTCTAATTATATCAAAAATATTTTTCATTAACTATTACAATTTAGTCTATAAATAATATAATTTTATAATAGGAGTGTGGATCTCACAATTATAGAGTAGTAATAACTAAGCTGAATAATATATCCTTATGGTACAAACCTTATTTATATTAGGGTGTGGGTCCCACAATCATAACATTAGGGTTACTTTCCAATTGAATAGCATCCAGGTTACAATTTATTTTCTATTTATATAGATGGACAAACAACAAAGAAAAAAAAAAAAAGAAAAAAGAAAATAGCGGCCACAATTTGTGATGGAAGGAAGATAGTGGTAAACTTTTTATTATTATTATTATTATTTTAAACAAGGGAAAATTTTACAAGTAAAAAATATTACAACTGTTTTTATATAAACTTATATTTTGACATTAGTTAAAAATTTTGCTACACATTGCTAACACACCTGGTGTTGCTAGTGCAAACCTTTTATTATTTATATGATGATGCCTTGAAAATTTCATCTGAGTTAGGGTTAAAACCATGATCTTCAGGGTTGAACGTTACTTTTTGACCCTTAAATACACTAGCATACTTTTTGACTTCTTAAAAGTAATTCAATTAAAAAAATATTAAAATATTGTGATAGTTGAACCTTACTGGTGAAAAAGGCCACCATTAGATGGAAGTTACTAACGATGTCAGAGTAGAGAAGTAAATGCCTGTGCACTTTTTGGGTAAAAACTTATTTAACCCTTCATCTTATTAAGTTAGAAGATTTTAGTCCCTCATATTACACTATGATATTTTTAACCCCTCACCTTATTAGATTTATAGGTTTTACCATTTTCCCTTATATTATAACACTTTTAACCCTTCACCTATTAAAATTGCAAAACATAATCCTCATTTTGTAACATTTTGTTAATTTTATTAACTGACTATTAATTCTATTAACTGATTATTAATTATATTAACTAACTGTTAGTTAACTGTTAGTTGTGAAAAACCTTTTTTTAACTAATAAAGTTAATAAAACTAACTTTATAATATTTTATTAATTCAATTAATTAACTATTAATTAACTGTTAGTTGATAAAAATCTACTTGCAACTAACAAAGTTAACAGTAGTGACAACTAATTTCTTCAATTTTAATAAGTGAGAAGATAAAACCTACAAATCTAATAAGATAAAGGGTTAAAAGTGATATAATATAAGATAAGGAACTAAAATCTTCAAACTTGATAAGGTGATGGACTAAAAATAAATTTTTACCGCACCTTTTGACCCTAAAAAAGTAACTTGAGCACTTCTTCACAATAGCTAATATCCTTGCCATATTTTTTTTTGAGGAAAATTATCCTTGCCATATTGAAAACAAGGGTCGAAGCATTTACATAGGTCCAGAATGTCACCTACAATCATCCAACAAAAGTTTCTCATGGATGGAGTGCCTTGTGAAATATATCCCTATGGCCTATGACTATAAGCTGTTGAAAATCCTGAATCACTTTCCACCACAACCTAATGCTAGAGCTAGCATTTAACAGCAACCCCTCCAAGACTGTAATACCCGCCTCCTGATTGCATAATAAAGATCACAGTGCCTGCTTAATCCAGCAGCAGAAATCAGACATTCAGCAAAATCTATTTTGCATTTGAACTTGTTAGAGACAACGATCTAATTTAACTATTAAGAAGAAACTCTTGATTGCATATAAACAGAAAGAACAATTAGCAGTAGCATAACAAAAGAAAAGGTTCAAATACCGCATTCTACCTCCCATATTTCCTGAATCTAATACTTGATTCTCCATAGTGAGGAGGAATTTGACCTTTCAATTGCATAATTTAAGTCGGAAGAGGTATTCCCAGTTAGTTTATGTGCACAGTACTTGGAGTTCAGCAGAGAGAGCAGTACTTTATGCCTTGATTGCTTCATCTTCAACACTTGGATATAGGCATGTAGTCCAAGCCATTTTACTTCTTGATCTTGCAGATTAAGGATGGGACGGAAGTTATGACCCCCGTAAGAAGAATGCATCCTTCTCCTGATAAGCCTGTACATGTACCTAAAACATGGTAGCATAATTGGCAGAATTAGAGTAACAATGAAAATGTGAAATTGAATTCTATACAGTAAATTGAGGATTCTAGAATTGAGAATTTCCTTAAAACGCTTTCTATACATAAAACAGTAGATTTGTAGCAGTCACCATTAACATGCCTCTAGCTTACAGCTTAATGTAGGGTAAGAGAAGTATGTACCCCTACCTCAAGGATCTCATGATGATCTTCAAATAGAACTGTGCACGAAGTTTGCAAATATATGATAATTCAGAAACATAACAATGGAACTTCATTGCACACAACAAGAAGGCTTGATAGATATTCAATCTGACAACAGCTGCTGAATTGATATTAGAATCAAAGAATATGGTATGACACTTAGGTCTTAAAAAGTCACAGACTTTCCTCTTCAGGTTATGACCTGGCCTATCCTGCCAGCGGACAGTAAGAGCTGAACGTAGATGGTTAATCAAATACCTGATTATAAGATCAAGTTATTATGGGAAGACATTATAAACGCAAACTACGTAACAAGGACCAATGTAAAGCTATAGAGTTGACCTTTAAGGATGATTATGAATAAAGCATGTGATTGATTGTACAGCCAAATATACAAATACAAAAGTTATAATTTATATTACAGAATCATAGTATCATAACATAACAAGCAATGAATTTATTTAGACATACAAAATAATGACTACAGGTCCACAAGCATTATACAAACTAACCTTGAATAATCAGCCTGGACTTCTAACGTACAGGAGTTAATGAGCAAACCACTCCAACAGATGTATGGGATACCTTTTTCACTCACACAAACCCTATTTGAGGGATGCCCCAGTTGATGTCCAATGTCAAAATTTGAGCAGAATTTTTCATGATTCATATAGCAGTTGTAATCAGGAATTCCTCCCTTCAACATGGAGAAGAAGGCAGCAGCAAGTGCCTTTGACATTGATATGAAAAGAAAGTCATCAATAAATCTAAGTAGTAAATACCTAAGGGGTGCAATAACTGCAACGTCTCTCAAGTTCTGCATGGTAGAAGCACTGGAAGAAATCTGTTGAGTTAATAAATCTTCAGTAATATCTTTAGAAACCCTCTCAAGAAGTGGAATGATCAAATTCCTTTCCATATGTCCATAATACAAAGAGCACAGCAGAGAAGACAAAACACTTCCTTGAGGTATTCCTTTGATTTGCAAGTAGAAGTTCTTATCAAACTGAACTACATTCTGCTTCAGATGCTCTTTCAGATTAAAACAGATATCTTCCTTTTTAACCAACCGGCTGCACCCCTGAAACATTTCCCTCCACCCACCCCACACCCAGAAAAGGTTGCATTAGCTTTGTCAAAAAAGAAATGTCTATGCAAGCAAAAAATCTGATCTATCTCTTTCAATATTCTTAGCAGCTCTAGACACCTAGTTCAGTCTATGGATAAGCAAACCTTAGTCCCGTAAGTAGGACCATGCTGTTCTTAGTGTTGAAGTATTTACCTTTAAGTTGATAAAAAGTAAAGAGGTTCACATCCCACCCAGTACGAAGGCCTACATAGGGTATATTGCATACAGACAGTGAAAATTATCTCAATGACCCAATATTCTAGTATGCTAAATGTAGTTATAAAGTAAATGTAGATTTAATGAAAGACATGTTAGCATGAAAAAACATATTATAAAACCCCAAGGTCAGCATATAATAAGATGGATAATACTTGCTGAAATAAAACATATTCTGTTGCTCCTGGCAAGTACTGTAGATATATGAGAGTTGCAATCACATCAGTACATAAGATAGTTCATTCTGAACCAAGACTAAAAAGAATGCAGTGGTATCTAAGCCAGTTATATGTACAGAGGACAAAGTTATTTGTCACTTTCCTCAATAAGTAACTTAAAAAGATACCTGGTTAACAAGAATGCTATGCAACGAGCGAAATGGAACACAAGGTTTGAAGCTTGTTAAATCAGTGTCCAAAGTTCTATCTGTCAATAAGACATTCTTATGCTCCCATAATGATCTTTCCATACATACAACTTGGCAAGATTGTTGCAAGACATATTCATCCTCCACTATGACTTCTTTCATTACAGAAATCAGCTTATCTTGAATGACAGAATCAAATGCTTTTGATACATCAGAAACAACGATGAATAGACCAGGAAGAGTTGTTGACACATTCCTCAGACTCATTAGAAAAGGGCACAACCTTCTGTAGACATCATTATAATCAAAAACTGATGAACCCAGCTTCTCTGGCTCTTTCAACTGTAAACCTTTGAGAACCGCATGTGTGTCACGAAGAATAGAGTTTACAGACTTGAAATTGACAAATTTGCCAGTTCTATCATGTGATTGTTTGTTTCTCTGAGTTCCAACACATTTACCTCTAGAAGAGAACCCCTTTCTTGGCAATCTAGATGGAGCTTTGAGATTTGCCAACATCCTTACACCAGTATTCTTTGGACGAAGCCTAAGCTTTGAGAAACCAAATGATCTCTTGCTTAATATATTTCTAACAGCTGCCTCATTTAATGGATTATAGATCCCATCTTTAAGGCAATTAATGGCTCTGTCCGTCAACTTCATCCAGGCTGACTTCCGATAATAGTACAGATCATGTTTTCCATGCTCACTTTCAGTAACATAGAAGTTGGCTTGAATCAGGGGCACAACTAGACAGCTAAAGAACCAAAAAATCCAGTTCACAAAGAGTTTATGCTTAGCATTTGTTAAACTATCTTTTATTCCTCTCAATAATTTCTGAATGTTTTCATTCTGCCCCGCAAAACTTTTTACATCACATTCACATGAAGGGTGTTTACTTGACAAAAATGGGAAACTGGAAGTTTTTAACTTATATATGCATTGCCTTACAGAGAATTTCTCAAATTTTCGCAGCCCAAGAAATTTCGAAATATTGCTCCTCAGGATTCTCCAATTAGAAGGAGATCCTAGTAAATCTGGAGGAATAATACTCCTACAAACAGCCCAAATAAATGACACAACCTGACTTTTCGAGCAATAAGTCCTAGTTGACTCAGACTGAGTATCATGTGTTTCCATGCCCATTTCTTCACTCTGCAACAGCAAACTTTTAAAAGTCAAGCTTTTCATGGGCTCTCTATATGCACACCCTTCCATTTAGGGTAAAAAAAAAAGAAAATCCTAGAAATTCTCTCATCTAGAGTTGACAAAATCCTTCAAGATTACATACAAAAGAAAAAGGGAATACAAAAAGAACAGAATTCTGGAAAGTCATGCATGGATGCACCCTTGCCTTTCAAAGTTACGCACCTGAAATTTCTAAGCGAATTATATACAAGCCTCATAAGCAATACTAACCTCAAGTACGGTACTTGAACTTCTGGCAGCCATTGAATCCAATATGGGCAAGGCACAATGCTTCTCCAACAATCTTAAATAATTGCAACGTCGACTTCTGTGTATGAGCATCTTTAGCAACTTAACAAGATAATGATACCTGGGGAACCACAAATAGAATAAAATAACAAATTGCTCTTCATAATATAGTTGCAAGATATCCTCATACCAACTTCAGGTTTATAATAAAAGACCAAGATATTTCTGTGGAATGTGTAGAGATATTACAACCATCATTTTTTTTCTGAGTCATTTTAGAACTACAAACATGTTGGCACTTGGCACTGAGCACTGGATATACTACTAAATTGATCCAAAATCCCTTCAAAAAGCCCACAAGGTTTTTAAAGTCAATACCACAATGCTTTCCATTGACTTTAACATACAGGTTTGGTCCTTAGACATACACCAGTTAATCTTAATTGGACACAATAGGATTCAAGTGTCACTTTCAAGAGAATTTATGCATAGCTGACAGAGCTGTTCTACAGCTAGAAGACAATGCGAATGTGCACAAAAGAGTTTGCAATGAAATGATTACAGGATTATAAAGCCCCAAGGTAAACTGATACAGTATGCAAAATACCCCAAACCATGGGAAACTATGTGCTTTGGTAAAACCAACAAATTCCTGTTAAAGACCAGAAAAAAACAGTAGAGATGCAAAGTATAATATTCAACTTACTGGCATCCAGATTGAAGCAGAAAAGAGCCAGTACTGTGGAAGCATGGCATTGACTGAGCCCTTGCATTTCCATCAGATAAGCCAAAGATCTTCTCAAAAAGAGACTTTGAGCCAGATATATTGGGTTTTAAAGTTTTTAACACATCTGATACAATTAAGGCAAACCTTTGCCTTCTTATAAAGAAAACAAGAAAAGAAAATGTAACAGCAACCGCAGAAACATACATTGCTTCAAGATCATATGTAACAATGACAACAACTAGCAAACTCAAAATGGATGGAAAACACATGCCCTATGGACTACGCCTCTATGTTTCAAAAGACAATTTATCAAAGGATACGGTTTTGAGCCAGACCAGACAACGATCGCTCCATACTGTACAACATGGATTGCCTGTCGATGTGATGCCTCTCAGAGATTAACTGAGGGACTTCATAAATCAGAGAACAGCAGCACTGCATTGCAAAGGAACTGTTTTAGCAATAATACATTAATTAAAGCAGTGCCAACAGTTCAAATTTCATGAACAACATTTTAATGTCTTTTAACCTTTATATTGAAAGAATAAAGAAAAGAACTCCTTGAGTGCAAGAAAGAAATACGAAGTGAAATATCTCAAACAATACTAAAATGCCACATATTGCATTCCTTTCACAAAACCTTGAAAATTTGACAAGTTCCCAAGTTCACTCATGGACACATGCAAACACAACCAACCAACATGACATTGCATGTATCTCCACACAAAGTACTTTGATAAATGAAACAACTATGAAAGCCAGGTGACATATAGAAGTAAATGTATACATAGCTCAAAGACCTGTGTATGAAAATCATATGTCTGGATGCTAGAATGTGGCTGAACCTTCCCAACTGAGCTACCTTCATCAACTTGATTGTTTGTACAAGAGATCTTATCAGCAAACTCTTGTAAATTTAATTTCCTCCACTTCCTGTGGCAAAGCAATCTAGATGATCTACACCGCTTTTTACACTTCCTTGTAGACTGATTTGAGCTTTGTTGAAGTTCACCACTTACATCTCCTTTCTCCTTAGCTGCAGCAGATCCAGTCAATGCGTCCCCTTTGGAGACAGTCATCTGACCATTAGTATTTTCATGGTTGATAAATGGTCTTAATTGACTCAATCCACCAAAGCAATGAGAAGTTAAATGATCAGCAATATTGGAATAGGAATTAAGTGGCTGCATCTGTGTTGATGAACTAATATTATCAACTCTTTTTCTCTTCTTTCCAGTGCCTGAGACAATTTCAGAGAATCATCAGCCAATGCATACAGCTCTGACTACATGAGAGGTGAGGTAAACTTTATCTACAATAATTTGGTCAATGGAGTCAAATTTTGATGTACATTTGGTGGGATAAACATCTCTCACCAGAACAGAGATAGGTTCAAGTAAAAAAAAAAAAGAAAGAAAAACTCTTAGATTATGTTAAACAGAAAACTTGAATAACATGCAGAACTTTTAGCACCTTCCATTTATTTTTAGCACAATATAAAATGTAATTGATGCACCATCAATAGGTCATATCTAACTTCCTCTAATGCATTAAGCATTCATAATTTATTTGTATATTATAATAGTTTCATAAGAATTGTTTGTGTTTAGAGCATTTTTTATATCCATTACTATCTAAAAATTATCACGTTAGAAACTGGAAAACATGAAGAAATACCCCCACATCTAAAATTAATAGATCACCTAAGATGAAGCAATCCCATTGAATTGACTATGATTGCATGTGTGCCGGGGACATTTGCTATACCATTAGTATTGATAAACAGAGATTTGCAAATGTTCCAGATGCCTTTTCTTAGTTAGCTTTTTCCTAGCCTCTTCTAGAATCCATGTCTTAATTCAATTCAAGATCCATCTTTACCAAGTGCAATGAATAAATACATCTTTCCACAAAATTTGATGGGAATGGGCTTGGGAACGTATCTTAGAAAACAAAATATAGTAATCAAGTTATTAATTCCACAGTTATAAATTCATTTCATATCAGAACAGACTAGAGTGTCATAGGCACCCTCATAATGTGCGTTTGAGTGTATCTAAATAGATACAATGTTTACATATGGACCCTTACATTGCTATTTTCCATTTTGACTTTGATGGGCATAATCCAGTAGAAGTTCACCATGGTCATAAGAATTGGCTGGTAAAACTAGCCTGCTTGAACTAATGATTAGGCAGAACTGAGGTTCAACAAAAAGACCTTTTGCAAAGAGTACCTTGGTTACAATTTATTCACAGATAAAGGAAAACAAAAAAGGATTTTGGAGTAATTTCAAGTGAATTTTTGTCAAGATAATTGGAGGGATTCATAGCATTGCGTTACATTATCATCATTTTCTTATACATGCAGTCAAACCATGATAACAAAAAGAATGGAGAATGACATTCATTTGACTACTGTTACCAGATTGGATTACAGCGGGATTCTGAAATTGAGCCTCTGGCATATGCTTTTGCAGCTTGACAGGAGAACCTGCTACTTGATGAAATGTGTTGTGAGACAGGGGCAAAAATATTGATGCATGCTTTAGTAGATAAACCATTAAACAATCGCCAACCTGCCAAATTGCATATAAAAGGAAAAAAAAGAAATCAAGAATAAAGAAAAAAAAAAGCCATGAACAAAACCACGTGATACAAGAAGATGGTATACCCTTTCATGGAGAAGAGCCCATGCTGAAGAAGTCAGACGCTCCAGAATTGGGCTTGATTGTTTCACCTGTTCAATTATTAAAAAATAACAAAGTACAAGGAGGACATAATTCACTTCAGTGCAACACATGATCTTTAAATGACAGAGAGCTTCATAGCATATTTTTTGTCCATATGGAATTAAGGACCCAACCAAGAACTTACTAACTGAATTATTACCATTAGGACAAAAGGAGGTGCTAAGAGGGATAATTATAAAGAAACATGTTTAGAAAAACCCCAAGGCTAACAGCAACAGAACAATACAACAACACAACTTACACTAAAAATAAATAAATAAAAAGAGGAAACAGAATAACAAGTCTACTTTTTCCCTTTTTGGATAACACGAGCATCCAGATATTACTTGTCCCAGAGTATGGTTCTCTTCACTCCTTAGTTCAAAACCAAACCCAAAATTATAACCAATTAAAGACTGTTAAGGGTATATAGACAAGAAAATGAAAGTTGAGGAATGTATTTTCTCAATTTCCACAAAGGAAACCACTAGAATATACAGTATGTAATAACCAATCCTTAACTTAAAACCAAATATAACAAATTCAATATATTCTAAGCACAATTATCTTAAGTGTTACGACGAGGGCCAAGGAACACAATAAACACTTGCCTTGTTATAGTCACAACATATTACGTTGGACGGTTGCTCGAGCCCTGTGATTTCAATAGTCCTTCTCATAAGCTACAAAAATAACACGAAACAATTAATGGCTTTATTAGAAAAAGGATTAGATTAGAAATCAAGACAACCTCTAGTTGTGGCCAACGCCGGCTGGGATCGAACTGGAGGGGAGAAGTGCCCTCATTAACGACCAGATACGAGCAATTTATGAGCTTCCGGTAGTCTTTAGGGTCACCAGCGCGAAGGAGAAACGACGTGGCGTCTCCGCAGCACTGGAGACAGGAGGAGCCCCTGCAGGGGCAAATGGAAGGCCGAAGGGGAGGGACCAAGGATGTAATTGTAGCGGATAAGGTTCTTGCTCTGGCCCCGAACACTCTCCAGAGAACCTCCGGCACCGGCCGTCGTCGTTGCTTCGGCATTTTTTGTATTCTTTTGAGGAGTGTGAGAAGACTTGACTATACCGCCTGAGCAGTGATGGAGAGCGCGGCGAAGCCCGGAAGCCGAAGGGACCCGCCGTCCCATTTTTGAGATAGTCTTTGGGTAACAGTTGAATCACTTTAGATTTGTGACAGACCAAGCAAACGTAGACACGCAGATAAAATGTGTGCTACAAATGTGTGATTGACGTTCACCTATTCCTCGTACTAGAATAATTGTAATTTTGAGTTTTTTTGCCTTTTAAGTTTTTAAATTTTAAAAATCTTAAAATAAAATTAAATAATTTTATGAGTTAATTAAATTTAAAATTTTAACTAATCCAATTGAAAATTTTATACTTAATTATAATTATAATTATTTAAATTTTAAAAATTACAACCAAAAATTTAAAATCACATAGTTAAATTAAGCTAAACCTAAATTGACTCCATTAAGTGCGAGGAGTTTAATGCTTTCATTGAATCACTTTAGACTTGTGATAGACCAAGCAAAAGTAGACATGCAAGTAAAATGCCAGCAACTTTTCTCGGTTCTTTCAAACCCAACAAGTAACGGAGGAGGTAATTTTATTTGATGATGATAAAAAATTAATTGATGAAGAACAAAATTATATTTTATTGAATTGATGGATTGATTTAAAATAAATGAAAAGGATTTGAGAAAGATGATTTTGGAGGAAGAAGATGAGAGTAAAATTATAAATTTGATGAATTAGATAATTATATTTGTTTTATTATGTGACCAATGCCTTTTACTTATGTCATTCATTTATCTCTGTTGTCAATTTTATGTGTCAAATATTTTGGATATGTCATTCTTCTTCTGTTAATTAATGATTACCTCAACAAAAATTTAACAAAATGACCAAGTTGAGCCGAAATGAGAAACAATAGGGACGAAATCAATGATTTTTTTAGTTAAGAGACTTAATTGAGGGTTTGTACAATAGTTGAAGAATTAAAATAGGGGTTTAACTTATATTTTTAGAATGTTAAAGGAATAAAAAAATTTACAACTATATTTGCATATAGTGATATCAAATTAAGGGCCGTTTGATATAACAGTTTAGAGATAATGATTAACAATTTTGTCCAAACCGTTAAAAATAAATATTTGATAAATTTATTGATTTTATAACTAGTACAAATTAATTGTTTGGTATAACTTTTTATTAAACAATTTGGGACTAATGAATGATAGTTAAGATCTAAATAGCTAATAAATTGAAAAAGCTACTTAAAGTAGTTTTTTTGTACTAAATCGCTAGTGGATTGAAATTTTTTTCAAAATTTATTGATAAATTTATTGACAAATTTATCCTTTTTTAATTTTTGACTACGATTTTTAATTAATACTTATCTAATTAGTTTCAATTTTATTTTTTATCTTTAATAATATTAAGTAATTATTATATTTCTATTTTTACATTAATTTATCATAAAAAAATATATTAGTTTAATAAATAAAATTTACTAATTAGAAGAAAAAATTAAATTCTTTTATTTTATTTAAAACTAATATAATTTTTTTATTAAAAATAAAGATTAATATACAATTACACTATTAGAATTTATTCATTTATTTATTTATTTTTATAAAATTAATAATTTAATAATAAAAATTATAAAAAGAAAAGAATATACTTAATTATTTTTAAATATATCCTTATCAATCATTTAATTTTAAATAATAACTGCTAATTATTATATAATTAAACAATTATATTAATCAAATTTGCTATTTACTATTTACTATTTACTATCTACTTTTTGCAATCCACTATCATTTGCTATCCTCTAACAACTATACTGATTGGTATAACAATTTTGGGTAGTGGTTAGTGGTTTTTATCAAACTGTTAAGAATAATTATTTGGTAAATTTATATATTTTGAAACCATTATAAATAAGATATTTGGTAAAAATTTTTATATAGCAATTTGAAACTAGTGGATAGCAGTTAGAATTCAAATTGCTAGCGGATTAAAAACGTTAGTTTAGGCAACTTTTTATATCAAACCGCTAACGAATTGAAATTTTTT